GCCCAGCCTCGCCCGTGACTGCCACCCAGACAGCCCCCTTCCCGCTCGCCCCATGCAGGTGTCGGCAACCCCGCGCTGGAGAGCCACCGGGCGTTTCAGACCTGCCGGAGGAAGGGGTGTCCCCACGGGGTTCCGGTCCTCTGCCAGGCATCGTCCTCAGCCCCGTCCTCGGCCCCGGGCAGCGGCCCCGCCCCAACCGACGCCTCTGACCCTCTCATTCCACTGGAGATGGGAAACGCAGCCAGAGCAGGGCCCCTGCCCGCCCCTCCCTCCTGCTGCCTCGCAGGGTCAGCAGCATGACGGGACCCAGGATGGCGAAGCCCTCGGTAAAGCAGGGTCTCTGCTAGGCAACAGCCTGGCCCCGCCCCACCCTCCACCCCCACTGACAACCCCACCCAAGGTCTCCCAGAGGCCAGCACCCCGCCCACCACCGAAGCCGCAGCCACCAGGGCTGGGATGCTCACTACAGCCCACTTGCTGGCGTGCGGGCCACGCCGTTCCGCAAGCTTTACTCGCTGTGACCGTCTCTGCCCTCGGCTGCCTGCACGGGGTGGAGGGGGGTAGGGGGCTCCCGTCATCCCGGGCAGCAGTGACAGTCATGTGAGTCTCCTCCCCGAGACCTACACGTGGCGGGGTCAACCTGGAGGCAGCTGGGATGACAGGGCAGAGGGGTGCCTGGATCCGCAGCCAGCAGAGCCCGGCTCGCCACCCTGCTCCCCGCCCGGCACTGGGCTGGCACCAGGAGTGCCCGCCCACGTCCTCAGGACAAGACACTCGCGAGGCCCCACTCTGGCCCCGCCATCACCTCCTAAACATCACCCTGGAAATGCTGCCACGCCGGCCACACGCCCAGCTCCCATGACGTGGGAGAACGCGGACTAAGGGACACGGACATGCCCCTGCCCCAGGGGACACTCCCCAGGAGCTGGACAAGCACCTCACTGACCCGGCCTGACGACTGTCCCCACACTGCAGGGGCTGTGGCAAGGGGGTAGGGGGCTCCCCCAAAACAGCTCCTGGCCAGCTCTAACTCGAGGCTGGAAAGACCCTAAAACGGAGATAGACTGGGCCCTGGCTGGTGTGCTCAGTGGTTAGAAGGCACGTACTGAGGCTGCACGTTCGATCCTGGGGCAGGGTGGTGCAGGGGCAACCATGCGATGTGTCTCTCATACTGCTGTCTGTCTGTCTCCCCCCTCTACCTTCTCCCCCAAAACCAGTAAGAACATCCTTGGGTGAGGATTCACAAAAACAACAAAGGGGAAAGGGGGCAGATCAGGCCTGGTTCTCGCATACAACAGCTAAACGCCGGCAGAAGGGGCGCACGGCCAGGGCACTGAGCTCAGAGCCGAGGCCGTTTCATGGTCCCTGCTCTAACCCACCTGCCTGCGGGGGATCCTGGCCCGTGA